TAATACACTACCAATCAAAAGTGTGAGGTCAGCAAAATGTGTTTTCTGGAAAGTATTGAGTACTTTTATTCATCAAGGATTTATTAAATGAATCAAAAGTGACAGTAAAAACATTTATGTTCCCAAAGAATTCTATTTAAAATTAATGCCGTTCTTTTTTATTAACCAAAGAATCTTGAAAAAAAACCTATATCACAGTTTCCACAAAAATATTGAACGTTCACAATAATAAGAAATGTTTCTTGAGCACCAAATCAGCATAATATAATGATTTCTGAATGATCATGTGACACTGAAGACTGGAATTACGGCTGCTGAAAATTCAGCTTTGCTATTGCAGGAATAAATAAATACATATTAAATAAATAAATGTTAAAATATATTAAAATAGAAAACATATTTTTTATTGTAATATTATTTCATGATATTACATTTTTTACTGTATTTTTGTAGTAAGTGCAACATAAGAGACTCCTATACTGTATTAATGTATTTTTGAGTATCATTTTAGTTCGTTTGACTACTTTATACTTACTTTGTAGTCACTTTTTTATGTGCTGATCTTGTCAAGTCCTGTTTTTTTTTTTTTTTATTAATCCAATCTATGCTGTAACGTCTCTAAAGTTATTTTGTTTATTTATATTATATTTACATGCAGAGGGAGCTATTGAGGTTCAAACAGGAGGCTCGCAACCTGCAGGGGGTGAAAGTAAGTCTTGCATACCTCCAAACTCCACATGCCTATAAAATAAGACCCTCACACTCACATTACTAAGAATTCAATAAGTCTCAGACTGATATAGAGCAGAACAAGTTAGATATGCGAGTTTAGTTTAATTGACTGTGCTTTGTCATCACTCAGGATGCTCTTCAGCAGCGTATGGCTGTGCAGGAGTCCTCAGTCCTGCAGCTCAAACAGGAACTCCTGCGCACCAGTATTGCCAAAGATGAGCTGGCGGGACAAAATGTGAGCGCATGCAACTGAGACCTGACATTTTAGTTTTTATGCTATGCATATTAATTTTGTTTCAGTTATACCATTTCTGAGACCAGTTGTCAATTATTATGTGTGTATTTTTTTTTCTTAGGCCGAGCTACAGAGGAAGCTAGAGGAGCGGAACAGGCTTCTTAGCGAATATAAGGCATGTCTTGTTTTGCAAAGTATAATAATGTTTATTACAAACATTTTTCCACAATATATAGTATGTATTCTAATTCTACTGTTCATTAGTGTTTTCAGTTGTTTTTATAGAAATTATAGAGTTTTCTAGTTTTATTGTTATTTAGTGGTAATTAATGTTTATGTTGCAACCTTAATTGAGATCCTTGTTGTATATGCAAGATTATATTAATTTGTTCTGATTGCTAAATGAATAAACTATTATCTGATATTTACACATTTAGAAATATATTACTTTTAAGCTTCAGTCTTGTTACGAGTTTTTATTAGTAGCTTGTTGTGTAGCTACCTTTTTTTTTTTCAAAATGGTAGCTTGACTGTAGTTGTGCTTTAATTTATGAGTAGATTATAGCTTAAAATTCTAGAATTCCTCACATTAAAGAATGCTTTTTCTAATCAAATGCTGATTTTCATAATAAAGCTTTGGTAGTTATACCACATCTATTTCTATAATATATTTAAACTTACTGTCTTTATGCTGTGCAGAAAGAACTGGGCCAAAAGGATCGGCTTCTGCAGCAGCAACAGCTGAAGCTGGATGAGACACTGCGCAAGCTGACAGACAGCAGCAGCCAGCAGGTACGACTTCAAACACAGCCCTGCAGACTCAACTCTCAACTAGCATAGCAGCTGTGAAGGAGAACTGCATGATGGGAATGGAAATGCAGGATAGTTATTCATTTGTTTATGAATTTATATAATGTACAGCTATTATTGCAAATTTAGTATTTTATGTTTTATATATATATACACCCACATACACATACATACATACATACATACATATATATAAATATATATATATATATATATATATATATAATTTAATAAATATATAATAATCCATAATATATAATGCATAAAAATATAAAGAAGATATAAAGAAAATATTTTTAGTATTCTAGTATTCTATAAATATATGTTAAATTGAGAGTGAATGCTTTTGAAACTTAATATAAAAGTATGCAGGTAAAAATGTCACTAGGGCAAGTACAGGCCCGACCGCCCCAGCAGAAAAAAAATAATCCTTATTGTTGAGCCCTAATAATGAATCTGTTTACCTCATTATGTAACTGAAGGCTTCTGCACTTGCTTTTATAGAACAGTTCAGTGTGAATGAGAATGTTTGTGTGTTTCTCAGGCTTGCCTGCAGATGGAGCTGGAGCACAAGGAGAGTATTCTCAAAGAGTTAATGAGCCATGAGACAGAGGAGGTAACACGCCTATAAATAATACACAATTCTCCCCACAGCGGTTTGTTTTCACACATTGCAGATTATGTTTAGTGCTTCCATTATTTCTTAAAATTTCAAGTAAAGACGCCCTGTCGTCTGTTTCAGCTTCCTGGCTCGCAAAACAACGGCTATTCACACCCACCCGTCACAGCATCAAAACCACACCATGGGGTAAATAAGCCTGAAGCCTTTTTTTCCCTCAATTATTTTATATTATATCTATAGAGATATATGTAATTGTGTCTCTTATAGGCTGAGGAGCTGCAGTTAGTAAGAGATGCTCTCCATAGTCTGAGGAACAGCTTTGGAGGTCACGACCCTCAACATCACACTTTGGACACCCTTGAGCAAGGTGTGGCCAGCCTGATGGATCGCCTCTATGACCTGGAAACACGCCACAAACAGGAGAGGAGGGTACGATGAATGTTTATCCATTCTCACACAGCAGGTTTTGCACCTGATCTACATTCTGTTCTCAAATCAGTCTGTTTCTTTGTAGACCCGAGGCAAATCTCCAGGTCATAAAGCGTCTCACTCAGATCGAGACTCCTGGCCTCCTACTTCAAGTAAGCATACATCTTAATCCCAAAACTACAATACAACGGAAACATGCCGCAACACAATGAAATTAGCACAACATAATGGAAACAATCCACAACACAATGGAAACAAGACACCACGTAATGGAAACAAGTCACAACACAACGGAAACAAGTCACAACACAACAAAAACAATCCACAACACAATGGAAACAAGCCACCACGTAATGGAAACAAGTCACAACACAACGGAAACAAGTCACAACACAACAAAAACAATCCACAACACAATGGAAACAAGCCACCACGTAATGGAAACAAGTCACAACACAACGGAAACAAGTCACAACACAACAAAAACAATCCACAACACAATGGAAACAAGCCACCACGTAATGGAAACAAGTCACAACACAACGGAAACAAGTCACAACACAACAAAAACAATCCACAACACAATGGAAACAAGCCACCACGTAATGGAAACAAGTCACAACACAACGGAAACAAGTCACAACACAACAAAAACAATCCACAACACAATGGAAACAAGCCACCACATAATGGAAACAAGACACAACACAACGAAAACAAGCCCTAATACAACAGAAACATGCCGCAACACAATGAAATTAGCACAACATAATGGAAACAAGCCACCACATAATGGAAACAAGTCACAACACAACGAAAACAAGCCCTAATACAACAGAAACATGCCGCAACACAATGAAATTAGCACAACATAACGGAAACAAGCCGCAACACAACGAAAACAAGCCACAAAACAACGAAATTAACACAACACAATGGAAAGAAGCCACAACACAATGGAAACAAGTTGCAACACAACAAAAACAAGGGGGAAAAGCCGCAACACAATGGAAACAAGTCGCAACACAACAGAAACTTGTTGCAACACAATGAAATTAGCACAAAAAAAACAAGCCACAACACAACAGAAACAAGTCACAATACAGCAAAATTAGCACAATAATGAAATTAGTCCTATGCGTTGTGCTGTGGCAATTTCGTTGTGTTGTTGAGATTTCATTTGCACTACTGGGTCACCGTACAAAACACCTCAGTACAGGAAATGACATAACCGTTTAAATATATATGAATATCATTTGTACTTGTCAGGTTTCACAGTAGGTATATTGCTGCTTATTTAAAATACTACTAAAGTGAATAATCTCTTCTGCTCTCTTACAGAAATGGTTCATTCTCAGAGCAGCCCTGCGTTAAACTCATCAGCATGCACCAAAGTCCTGTACTTCACTGACCGCTCACTCACGCCATTCATGGTCAACATCCCCAAGAGGTCAGTCAGACTCTTGGGTATTACACATATATGTGGCTTGAGTGGATCTTTAGCCTTAAATCAATATAATGTAGTATACTTTAGATATGTGACCTTGGACCACAAAACCAGTTTTTTAGGATAGAATAATATTTGGCTGAGGGTGCAAAAAAAATCGAAATATTGAGAAAATCGCCTTTAAAATTGTCCAAATTAAGTCCTTAACAATGCATATTACTAATTAAAAATTAGATTTTGATATATTTATGGTGGGAAATTTTCAAAATATCTTCATGGATCTTTACTTAATATCCTAATGATACAAATATACCCATGCGACTTATGACTGTTTTTGTGGTCCAGGGTCACATATGTGCTATGAGATTTTTCATTGTCTTATGTCAACAGGCTTGGGGAGGTCACCCTGCGAGACTTTAAGGATGCTGTTGATCGGGAAGGCAATTATCGGTACCATTTTAAAGCACTGGATCCAGAGTTTGGCACTGTGAAGGAAGAGGTATTGCCACATAATCAGTCAACAGGATATTTTCTCATTGCATTCAAGCATCTAAATCAGTAGTTCTCAACCAGAAGGCCAGGGCCCATTAGGGGGCCGCAGCAAACTTTCAATTATGAATGGGGTCTTTAAATATTTTTTTTGAACAGTAGGGACTTTTAAAGGGATAGTTCACCCAAAAATGAAAATTCTGTCATTAATTACTCACCCTCGTGTCGTTCCAAACCCGTAAGACCTTCGTTCATCTTCAGAACACAAATTAAGATATTTTGGATGAAATCTGAGAGCTTTCTGACCCTGCCTAGAAAGTAGGGATGCGTATCGGTATCGGCCCGATACTGAGCTCCTGTACTCGTACTCGTTAAAATGCCCGATATCAAACGCCGATACCACACAGCATTACTTAATGGTGGGGAGGGAGAGAGAGAGAGAGAGCACATCTGTTGTGTGATCTTTATTGATATTCGCTCACTTGGCACGCATCATTTGGATTAAAACTAAATCGTAAATATAAGACAATTTATAGGGGAATTCATACAAAATTGATACAAATTTGGGACCAAAAATTATTCAGACCGAGTCTGGGAAAAAAATTGAAGTTCAGGTTTGCATGAACCTGGTTGACAGCATGCCCAGGAGACTACAGGCTGTCATTAAGGCTAAGGGTCCCCCGACAAAGTATTGATAGTTGCCCAATATTTAAAAAATTTACAAATGCAATGAAAATATTGGTATCGGTACTCGGTATCAGCAAGTACCAAAAATAAAAGTATCGGTATCGGGTGAGTACTGGAAAAAGTGGTATCGGTGCATCCCTACTAGAAAGCAAAGAAAATGCCATGTTCAAGGTCCGATGTAGTACTCTTGTGAACGCGCATCGAAGACTGACACGGAAGAGAAGAAATTGTTGAATAAAGTCGTTATTTTTGTTTGCTTTACGCGAAAAAAATATTCTTGTAGCGTTATAAAATTAAGGTTGAACCCCTGATTTCACTGAACTATTTTAACAATGTCCTTACTACCTTTCTGGGCCTTGAACGTGGAAGTTGCGTTGCTGTGTATGCAGGGTCAGAAAGCCCTCGGATTTCATCAAAAATATCATAATTTGTGTTCCGAAGATGAACGAAGTTTCTTACGGATTTGGAACGACATGAGTGACAGAATTTTCTTTTTTTTTTTTTTATCAAAATAAAACGTTGCATATAATGTTTAAAAAGGACCCATGGCTTCTCCCAGGTGTTCCAGGATGACGCAGTGGTGCCCGGCTGGGAAGGGAAGATCGTGGCCTGGGTAGAAGAGGATCATGGGCAAAGAGGGTACTGCACGCATCTATACAGCTGGTACCACATCTGTTTCTCACCATTTTAAGCTCACTCTCTCTATTTTCCTCGACAGGACCTAACACAAGTCAGCAAGAAGCTGTCTAAGGAAATGGAGACGTCTGTGCCAAAATGAAATAACATTGATTTGTAACTCAAGTGTACAGAGGATGGAGCTTTAGTGCCCTAAGAAAGTCCCACCCACCTTTACTCTATCCTGCATGAGCTGAACAGCAGAATGAACCTGAAAGGATGTGGAGGATCATCGTAAGGAGCACCAGATGGAGAAAGTCCCATCTTGCGTCCTGTCCAGACCAGTATTACTCAAACATAACTATACAGAGGATGGGAGGACAGGATTTCTGATCTCTTTTAGAGGTCTTGCCATAGAACAGACACCCATTCAAATGCTTTACTAGCAGACAAACTCTTCACTGTGACGGAGGAGCCTTTTGTTCAGTTCACCTACTTTAAAGTAGGTTCTGCCAGAGTACTTTTTGTTTATTTCGATGAACCAAAATTGAATTTTTTTTTTGCTGTGAATAGAGAGAAGTAGGTAATCTTGACTGTCAAGAGTACTTGTGTGAATGTGGTTATGAATCTTAAGAAAGCAGCAGTAAAAGTATGCAAGTATAGAGCAGAAAGGAGTTTGACATCTGCTGTTACCTTGCTGTGAGATCTTAGATAAAGAGTTTCCCTAAAACATACGTTAGACACATTCTTTATGAAATTCTGCAAAAAAGACTAAATCTTCTCCAAGGACCAAAGTGTTTTGCTTGTTTGATATAAGATGTCATTCAATAAGTCTTTTTTAAGAGAGCTATCTTTCAAATGTTAACTATCAGATGTGCCGTTCCGCTGCACTGATTTGAGTTTACAGGAAAGTGCCTGGAATCTGCTAAGAAAGAGAGGTGGCCGGGGTTTGCCTTTTGTATTTTTGTTCTGTCTTATATTTATGTAAATATGTTAATATTTCAGAGATGGAGCGAGGCATAGTGCCTTTACACTGTATAAATGATGTCCTATAAATACTGAATAATATTTTAAAGATGAAAATGTCCTCTTTGTATCCAAAAAAGGCACATAATCACTCTCATCAGAGAAGCCTGTTGCTAACAAGAACCGTATTGATGGTGATACAAGCGACTGTATGCCATGACTGAAATTCTGCTTTACACTCCTGATTACTGCTGGTTGCATTGCTGGTTTAAGAAGAATGTTATTTGGTTTGCAAATAAACAGTTTGAAGCAGTATACACTATGTGTGTGTTTTTGTTAAATAAACTTTATTAAATGTATTATTATCATTTAAGTATTTTGCGTCATTTAAAAAAGTTACACAGGGATCCTTAGGGGACAAAAAGTAAAAAAAAATGCAAAAATATATATATATTTTTTTTATTTTGTATTTAATGCATTTTTAGATTAAAAATGTTTGCTCCCGAACATACTTTTGTAAGTGGACGGGTCTGTTTTTTTTTTTTTAAGGTATGCATTGGTGAATTATTATTGGAATGTAAGGACTGTTTATCTAATGAAGCAAGAAAGACTTTTCCTGTTATGATTTATTGTTATTTCTACAGATTGCTTAGTTTGTCTGTAACAAAGTTGACAAATATTACTATAAATAAATCAGTTTTTTTAATTAAAAGTAAAAAAGGAAGTAATTAGTGTTTGACAAGCACAGAATTATAAAAATTGAATATGTTTTCAATACGATACTAGAAAGAATTTTTGTTAGTGAACTTTTTTTTTCTTAATTTTTTGAAATGCCAAATGTATCTCCAATTATAAAATCACCCATTTACATTCAATTTAGCAACAACAAAAAATCATAATTTCATTGGAACATAATTTCATTATTTAAATAAAATATAACCATAAATGTTAATAAAAACTGACCAATCCTGCTACCCCATGTAAAAAAAATATCAAAAACTTAACATGTTAGCGGTCAATAAATGTTTCTCGCCGCTCCAGGTCGTTAGATGGCGCTGATTCACTTACTCAGCAACGCTCACTGCCAGGAAAACATCTCGCGAAGTAAACATTCACGTGTTTTTTTTTTTCGTTTTTTTTCCGTCAGTACAGATTCATCACCCATGTGTGCAAGATATACAGTAGGTGGCGGTAATACTCCTAAGGAGTGAACGGCCATTGAACAAAAAGAAGAAGAAGAAGAAGACATTCACGTGTTGTTACACACTAGCTAGTCAACGAAACTGAGTGAAAATGCGGGATAAAAAGGATAAAGAGAAGACACAGATAACCGATGACCCTGTGAAGAATTTTGACAAATGGAAAAGGAAATACAACAAAACAAAGAAACGAGTCAAACGAGTTCAAAAAACCACCAAGAAACGCGACTGGGAGGTGGAGAGAGAAAACATACAGAAGCTGGTGAATAAATACTCGGAGGTGAGATATCATGAGGCTGATATTGCAAAGCATTTCTGACTTCTCGTACAGTACTTGTTTCTAGGGATTGCAACGTGTTTACCTACCTGTTACGCAGCTGTTGTGGCATCTGGCTTGACAGATCAGTCTTTTGACATTTAAAAGCAATGTTTACAAGTACTAGTCCTTTGGATGTTGTGCTTGAAGTGTTGCTGATGGTTGTTTCTGGTCAGGAAGTCTGTCAGCACAGGTCTTCACATAAACATGATACTGTTTTATTGGTGGTCAGTGTTTTTTTAGTCCTGGGATTAGGCATGGGCCAGTATGAGATTTTGACGGTATGATAACCTTAAGCAAAAATATCACGGTATTGTCGTTACAGCTCTAAAATTTGTTATTTTTAAATGACTGGGTAAAAAAAAAATTTTTTTTCCGCTGAACACAATATATTTTGTTTTTGAGCAACAAACAGAATATTAGGAACAGTAGAATTTGTTTATTATTTCTTTGATTTGTTTCCTAAAAAGAAGAAAAATAATGACTGACATCTTTATTTAACCTAAATCTGTAATTACAGTAATTTAATTTTAGATATATAATTCATATAAATTTAATTTATATAATTTCATATAATTTAGTTATATAATTTCATATACATAATTTGATTTAATAATAACCCAATTTGAAGCAAAAACAGAATGTTCTGACTAGCTTTGTGAAATTATACTACATGCCTGAACGAAGCAAACAGCAGAAGCTCTGAATGAGACGCAGATTCACTCTCTGACGGCAGGAGGCACTTCTGGAACACCACATACGGCGTTTCCTTGGTTACCGCTGTAAACAAAGCAGCACTGGCTGAAACACTGCTTTAATATGAACTATAGAGAGACGAGATTAAAAGAAAATGCAACGTAAACTTTTCTGAAGACCGTCAGTTCCCCTCAGAAACACATTCATATAAACCCCCAAATCAATATTGAGGATTTTCTTCCAATAGTTTGTGCATCATGAACAGTGAGTGATCTGTTTGCTACAGTATTTTTCTCTGTTTTTCTCTATTTTTCTATGTCTTCAACGTCTCTGGCCTGTGTTAACGGGCGTTTACAGACTTCATATTTTCACATAAATAACATTTTGGAAAACGATTGCATTGCAACGCAGTTTGTGCAAGTCCAGAACAGAGACGAGTTGCTTGCAATAAGACAAAACACGGCCGGTTGCCGATCGCGTAAGTTCCAGGGGAAGCTCCTTAAGTTCGGCCGTCCTGCACACACATGTGACTGACCGCTCGCAGGCACCAACAGGAGGAGGAGGGTCGTTTTACTCTCTATGCTGCACTCAACCTGAAGGGATTCCTACACTTTCAGTCTTTGAGGAGACATGAAAACCAGTGCATACGCAGGAACGGTATAACGGAAAATATTAGCGGTTTTGAAACCGTGACATTTTCAAATCGCGGTATACCTTGAAACCGGTAATCGGCCCATGCCTACCTGGGACAGAACAGGCCACGTAACAGACATAAAAGTTAACATATCAAAGTTTTTTCAGCATGTCAAGTATTCAGACGTGTTGCACTGTTCTGCATCTTCTATTTTATGTGGTGTTGTTGTTGAGATTTATAATAGTCCTGATATCCTTCATCAGACACCTAATCCATCTTAAAACATGCCACTGTGAAGGTTTTGACACGAGTAACTGTTTTCCTATAGATCAATCCCAAAGAGGCTGTGAAGTTCTCTGATTTTCCACTCTCAAAAAAGACTCTGAAAGGTGAGCAAACTTGATTATTTGCATGTTAATAAGTTCACATATGTCTTCTTAATCTTAATGATGCTCTTGATCATGCCATCAGGTCTTCTTGAGGCTCAGTACAGGCAGCCCACAGAGATTCAGAGGCAGACGATTGGCTTTGCTTTGCAAGGGAGAGATGTTCTTGGTGCTGCAAAGACTGGCTCTGGAAAGACTTTGGCCTTCCTCATCCCGGTAAGCAATAGAGCTGTGGTGACGTATTTTTGTAGGCCAACTTGGAAGTTAGCATCACCCTGGTTCTCTTGACAAAAACCCAACAGTAATGGGTTAGAATTAATTTATTGTGCATTTATTTGTATCAAAAATATAGTAAAAAAGCAATATTGTGAAATAATGAAAAAAATATTTTGAATAGAAACCCCAATGAATTCAGGATAATGGAACTGAAAGTGCAATGACAAGATTTTATTTTTATTTTTTTGTTCTATTTTATATTTATGTCAATATGTAATATTTACAATATAATATATATTATGATATTGAGTATGTTATATTTATGTAAATATGTAATAAACCTTTTAGAGCAACAAAGGGGTGAGTAAATGATGACACACTTGATGACACTCTTTTACTTTTAAATATTTAATCTACAGTGTTTTTTCAAATTCAAACATAATTTCGAAGCCTCTCTAATGCACTGTGACTGTGTCCAGGTTTTGGAGTGCTTGTACCGTGAACAGTGGACTGCGATGGATGGCCTCGGCGCTCTCATCATCTCTCCCACCCGAGAGCTGGCCTATCAGACCTTTGAGGTGTTGAGGAAGGTCGGCAAGAACCATGAATTTTCTGCTGGTCTTGTAATTGGAGGAAAGGTGTGTCTCTCTTGTCTTTAGTGATTAGTATGGTTCTTGCGTATTTTTTGTCAAGGTTTTTATTGTGTAATAATTGGTTATTCTTTTTCAATGACTGCAGGATCTGAAAGATGAATCAGAAAAAATCCATCGGACCAATATCATTATCTGCACCCCAGGACGTCTGCTGCAGCACATGGACGAGACGGCCACCTTTCATGCTTCAGATCTGCACATGCTTGGTAAGGTGATGCTTAGAAAGAGTTTTAAATACACTGCTGTTCAAAAGTTTGGGGTTAGTAAGATTTTTATTTTGATCAAAGCATTTATTTGATCATTACTCTTGTTTTCAGTGTCGCATGATCCTTCAGAAATCATTTTAATTGGCTGATTTATACATTTATATACATATACATATAGACAATATACATTTCTTATTATCAGTGTTGAAAACCGTTGTGCTGCTTTTTATTTTTGTGGAAATCGCAGTACATTTTTGTCAGAATTCATCAATTTGTAGAATCTTGTTGACCCCAAACTTTATACACCAAACAGTGGTGTTTACATGTGTGCAGTTCTTATTGGCAGCCCCTTACTTTAAAGATGACATATTATGCCCCTTTTTACAATATGTAATATTTCCATGGTAGTACTTGATGAAGCCGACAGAATCCTGGACATGGGTTTCGCCGACACACTCAATGCCATTATTGAAAACCTTCCGAAAACACGGCAGACCCTTCTCTTCTCTGCCACTCAAACCAAGTCTGTCAAAGATCTGGCCAGACTGAGCCTGAAGAACCCAGAGTATGTCTGGGTCCATGAGCAGGCCAAGTTCAGGTAAGCTCATGGTTTTATATTGGGCATCTGTGTTAGTCGGCCCGCTCTTAAAGAGATGAAAATTGTGTCATCATTTCCTGAACCTCATGTTGTTCCAAACTTGTAAGAATTTCTTTATTCTTCAGAACACACACAAAAAAAAATGTAATAATGTTGGTAACCAAACAGTTGCCGGTACCTACTGACTTCCCTAGTATTGAAAAAAATTCTGTGGAAGTCAATGGCTACCAGCAACTGTTTAGTTACCCACTTTCTTCCAAATATCTTCTTTTTGGGGGGGTCAATACCTTTAATGTCTTTTTAACATCATGGATGGACATGAAGCTCTTAAACACTGATCTTCTCTGCAGTACACCAGCCACTCTGGAACAGAACTATATGGTGTGTGAGCTGCACCAGAAAGTCAACATGCTCTTCTCG